TCCGAAACACGAACCTCGACGAAAAAGGCCGCTGCGCGGAGAAACAAGTTAAGGGACAAGGGACGTGGTGGTAATATATCCATATTATGCATTATTAGTAAGGAAGGAGGCGTGAACTTTTTGGTTAAATTGGTCATATCGTTGTTCCTGAAAGTCTGATTGGTCTTATCGTTGCTCGATAAGACCATGAGACTTTCAGGAGCACCTAATAATAATAAAAAAAAAATCCCCGTTTAATTTTTTACGCAACTAGAGTTAATTAATTTTAGGGGTTCGATAATGGCTATTAAATTTACAAGAAACCGATGTATTATATCGTTGAATTGTGTACCTCTTCATTTGAAATCATTTAACTTAATTTCAAAATTTAAAAACAGTTTTTTTACTTGTTAGAGAGACTATTGGTAGAACTCTGGAATTAATTAACAATTGAGCCCAATATTCTACCAAAAACAATAAATTCTGGATTCATTTTGTTGTTATTGTTGTTGTTATTATTATTCTTTTTAATATTACTAATAATAATAATTTAATCATTATTAAATTGTGTAATTAAGATTTTTATTTCATATTAGTTCGTTTACTCTTTGTAAATATTGTTTAATATAACAACGAAATATATATTTGGTTTAGACATTTGATTTTGAGTACAGTCGTTCTTACTAACTATTGCTAATTTGATATAGTATTAGAATTCATTTACTGTGTTATATTTGTTCTTTAGGCAATCAATAATAACAGGCAGAGTAGGCTGTTATTTTTGTTTGTCTAAAAAACAATACCAACTCCTACTGGTGTAGGAGATATGTCTCATTTATCATGCTTGATGAAATTACACAGAGATTCAGCTGTCAATAGAAGTTGTGAAATAGATTTCATAAATTACATCCGTTTAATCTCAAAATAGTAAAATATGTTGTCATCTATACTTTTTGTTTTGTTGCTTGTTTATTTGTTACTGAGTTTCTTTAAGTAGAAAAAAATCACTGTGCATTAATCTCTTGACAATATATGGTCTTCAATGCTTTTTTGCCCTTGCTATTAAAATTTTTAATTCTATCTAATTTAGGTTTAATTTAAATTACTTAACACATATAAGTAAGTAAACACATTATACGTACGCACATACATACCCACAAGGCACACTCAGGTTCATACAAATATATCCATTATATTTGTATGAACCTGAGTTCATACAAATATAATGGAACAGAAGGATTAGGAGTAAAAGAAGAGATAACTGAATAGGTTTAAATAAGGGAAAACTAAAAGGTGTTATATTTTAGAAAAATAGACAGAATTAATTGAAGATAGTGATAATGTTGTGTTAGAATTTTATTGAGTGTTTTTATGAAGGATTTTTTGATATTAGCAATGAAAGCATTTCTACTAATGTTAGAGAGATTTATTTTTATTGAAAGTGGCAAAGAGTTCCTAGAGTGAATTGATTGGTATTTAATAGATTGAATACCATATTTGCTAGTTTTTTTTGAAGGTAGAGCTAGATTATAACAAGATATCGATCTAAGGTTGTAATTATGAATATCACTTGTGAATTTAAAATAGTTGTTGAAAGCAATAGGCATGGTACTATGAATGATACCCCACACAAAACACAGTTTAATAAGTAGATGATTTTATCTAACTTCAAAATATTTGATAAACTATACAATAAGTTTGGATTAAAATTGTTTGGCTGGAAATGAACTATTTGTATAGATTTATTTTGAAGTTTTATAAGATTTTTATTTTGAGAAGATGAACTTAGCCACTATATTTGGCAGCCATACCTTAGGTGGGAATTAAATATAGCATGCCAAATATTTTCTAATGTTTCATAGTTGACAAAATGCCTTATTTTGGAAATCATTCCATTAGCCTGACTTAGTTTGCAAGATATTGCTTTTACTTGTTGGTGAAACAAGAGATTTTCATCTAATATAATGCCTAAATATTTGATCTTATCTACAGTATTTATTTTTTTACCGCTTATTTTGAAATTAAGTTTTTTCTGTAATTTTGTTGCTTTGAGATTTAAAGATAACTATTTCAGACTTCTTGGTATTTAAGATAATTTTGTTTGATCGTAGCCATTGAACCAAACATGCAAGGTCATGATTAAGATTTTTATTTAGTTTTTTAAGAGATTTACTAACAATAAGAAGATTGGTATCATCAGCAAAATGATATGTTTTGGAGAATTTTACACATGTGTGCAGATTGTTTATATAAATGAGAAAGAGTAAAGGACCTAAGATTGAACCTTGTGGAACACCAATACATGTGAACCTAGTATTGGAGGTATTGTTTCCAATACAAACTGAGAGCGCATATACAGGTACGACTTAAACCATTTGAGAGCAACTCCTCTGACACCGTAATGATTTAATTTAGACATCAGAATCTCATAATCAACAGTATCAATATTTGAAAGTAAAGATATAGGTCAATAGTTACAATGATCTAGTTTTGATCCACTTTTAAAAATAGGCACAACTTCAGCAAATTTAAATAAGTCAGAAAACACTCTAGATTCAAATGATTTATTTATCAAAATGCTAAAAGGGTAGCTTAAATCTTTCGATGCTAAGATTAATATTTGAGTAGAAATGCTGTTAGGCCCAGTGCTTTTTCTAGGGTTCATACTGGATATATAGTCATTTATTTCTTGTGGTGTAACAGGGGTTATTTAATAGGAGTTAAGATTTTTGTTTTTAAGGTAGTGGTTAAAGTTATGTCTAGGAAAGATGATTGTTTTAGAAAGGTTTTGTGCAATTGTGGAAAAATAGTCATTGAGTTAGTGATTAGAGCATTATCAGTTATAATTTGGTCTATAGTTAAACTTTTAATGGTGTTTTGGCTGTTTGGCTTTATAGAAATAATCCTTTTTATTCCTCTCTAGGTGTTTCTAAGATTGTTAAGATTTTCATTGAAATATTTTGAATAGTATGATTTTTTTGAATACTTCAACAAGTTGCTTATTTGATTCCAATAATATTTGAACTTAAGAAAGTATTTTTCCTTTGATTTCTCATTTTTACATTTTATAAACTTTTTGCGAAGTTTATTTTTAATATGTATCAATTTAATGATGCCAACAGTAATCCACGGTTTTGATATGGTTTTATTAGTATTCTTAGAAGACAATTTAAAAGGGGCATGATAATCAAGTATTTTGTTTACCAGCAAGAGATAGAGTAAGGTTGCCAGATACAAAATTAGGGTCATAAAAATTTCATTGACCATGTCCCAGTTTTTAAGACCATTGTCCCAGTTTTTATACAGGAGAGCGCAGCGCCAAAATAATTAAAATTAGTTTAGTGCTGCGTTCTCCTATGTAAAAGCCAGGACAATGGTCACTTTTTGTATAATAGTATAATATGACATAATATTGATTTAGTATTTTGTGAATCATTTGAATCTCATTATTATAAAAAGTAGCCATTAAGGCTTTAATCACCACATGATGCAAAACTAAGCTTTAGGTTTATAATGTTACCTTTTATACACCACCCGTCCGTTACTTCACCCCAGACCACAACAGCGTCAAAACTTTTTAAGAAACTATCATTTACAAATACCACAATAATTGCAGAACAAAAATAATTTTGTGTAAATTTATACATTCTTTTCAATACAATACAGATGATCTTTTGATCATTTTGTGTTAATTGTACTCACTAATGACCATATACCATGTTTGTATCATATTTGGAAACTAGTTTGCATTCAAAAAAGCAAAAATAAATATAATTTCAATTTTTGCATGCAATTCTTTATTTAGAGGTATGGGTACCTTATCGCAATTTTTTTAGCACAGTTTTCAATTTTATACTTTTTTTATAATATACTTTGCCATATATATTGAAAAAGAAATAGATGCTGATTTATACAATGGTGATTAAAACAAAACTTAAATGTTTTATTTAAATCTAAACTGTTGATTTAAAAAAAAACAGAGTTTTTTTAAGTTAATACATTTAAATAATTTTTAATAATTTTATACAAAATTTATATAATTTTATACCAAGTAATAAAATTATACCAAATAATAAAATTTTGCACAAAATTTAAATGATGTTATACAAAATTTTAATAATTTTAAATTGATTTGATAATAAATAATTTTGCATAATTTGAATAATTTTTATACACAATTTATGATAAAAATTGTTTCAATTTTTAGCAATAATTTTTTTGAATTGTCTATTTCAAAAATTGGGAGTTTTATATTAGATTTCAGAACATGGAATTGAATAGGTATGTTACATTACTATATTTATTGAATGATAAATATTTATATTATCATAAATACAATATTTAAATCAAATATATATATTCACACTTAGTATATACTATTTTTTCCTTATTAAATTTTATTGTTTTAATTTATATGATATAGATAATTTTTTTTAATATTATTTGTAGCATTTTTGATAGTGAGTTGGAAGCATTAAAATCTATTTACATGGATGACCTTATTGTTGATTTTACAAGCAGGTGACATTTATTTACAAGCAGGTGACATTTACTTAAAAGCAAATAGCATATATATGGGTATTCTAATTTTTTTAGATGTAAAATCAAAACTCAGTTATTGTCAATTCTTATTATTATATCTATGGGAAATAAATAAAATTTTCTGAAACATCGTTGCTAGTTTAATTTGGGAAGGCACCTCAATGCAAAAATTTTGTTTTCTTTGTTGTAGCTAAGTTGTTTTTTAATTTTTAAAATAGAACATAAATACCATGGGTGTGCTTATGTTTAAACATATAAAACACAATCAGTATGTTGAATGCTATGAATACACATTATGTCAATTATGTTCTTTGAAGAATATTTATCATATATATCGTATATTTCTTTGAAATTTTATATATCAAAGTTATAGTAAGTAGTTCATTACTTTATAGAAAAAAATTTGAGCTTAACATATCTTTTAGATATTCATAATAAATAAACTATGAATACAAAAAGTTTCTTTTATACTTTGTATCTGTATATATTGTATAACTCTATATCTTTTTTGGTTATTCTTTAATGTTTGCTTCTATAGGAAGCCATATAACAAATTTGTAGCAAAATGTTAAAAGTATCTTATTTAGATGAGGCACGTTAGCATTGGTGAAGGCAACTATCTTAGGAGAAGGAAAAGTCTAATATAAAACCCCTAGTTTACCTGTGTGTAGAAGCTAGTAGTACATGAGAAAAGTGTTTAGGAGAAGCATGTAAGTATTAGGGGATAATATTTCTAGTAGAAGTATTAAAATAAAGAAACTTTGTCTTGAAATGCACAACAAGTTAACGCCAGGAAGATATCTGATTATAAAAAGATTTTCCATAATGTAAATTTGAAAATATCATTTGTGTAAATCATACAAGTGTGAAACCCTCTGGGATTTAAACTTAAACTATGTATTGTTCTTAACATTTTCTTACTCTTGATTTTATTCTTTTTCTTTATTTCTAACATGTATTTAGACAATTAAAAAGTACATTGTTAATATTAAATACACTGCAAGTACGAATAGAATTGAACTAATAAAGTTATTGCTCTCAAAAGGTATTATTTCATATTCCACCTATATTTCTTCTTGTCATTAAATCTGATACTTTTATGTCATAATATCTCATAATATACTTTTGTCTGTTTAATTGTTTCTGGGAACATCTGTACTTTCTTCCTTGTTTGTATTTTCTTTATTCAATTGTCTTTAGATCTTTATTTGCAATTTTTTATGATAAACTGACTGGGTTATTTGATTTTTGTTGATCATTTTTAGAGTTATTTTTATTTAATTTTGTAGTTGCCTGCATCTTTTTTGGGTAAGAAAAAAAAAGGCTTGGTATTAAATTGAGTTTATAAGTTTTTAAATTTTAAACTTGTTTGTTGACCAAATATAAAATTCTGTATAATTTATATATAACTGTATAATATTATATATAAGTATATAATTTATAAATTATATATAACTATACAACCTATATATAAATATGTAATATTGTACAAATTGACTTTCAAATTTAATAATCGCTAATCATCATTCAGATTAAATTATGTATAAACTTTAGTTATGTTAAATTATTTATGTTAGTTTATAATTATTTAAAAAACTATTATACTTTTTGTAAAACAGATATCATTTATATTTAGAATAATATTTTACAAAAAATCTTTAAAAATGTGCTACCCTATGATAAACATCGCTTGTTTAATAAGCTCTTAATTGTTGTAAAGTTATCATTTTTTTATTAAGTTTAAAAAAAATATATTTTTTTACTTATTAAAAACAATCTTGAAAATAAATCAACTTTTTTAACATTCTATACCATTTTAACATACTATAGCATGTAAACAGTAAAGTATACCTCACCTTACTCTGCTAATTGCTGAGTAAAAAACTCTTTCTTTCTGATAGTTCCATGATGAAGTTGTCTTTCTGTAACCTTGTTTAGAGTTTATATATTGGAGTTAAAAAGAATAAAGGTAGGAGGGGTGGGTGGGGGTAGTTATTTAGTTGTGGATTTTGGTATCGTGGAGATGGATTTATCTTCTGGGAAAGATATTTTTTCTTATTTATTTTTGTTTTATGAGGTTTAATATCATGTAACTCTTTTCCTACAATAAGAAAAGCCTCAAATACATTTATCTATTAAACAGTTTTTTAAAAAATGCGAGTGAAAAAGCCATTGGAGCATCGAGTATTCTGTACCAAGGTAATTTGAAGGCTTTTTGTATATATCTAGAAGAAATGTTCATCTTTTCTTTTTAAAATTTGTTTTTAAATAACTTTTCTGGTAATTCATTTATACTAAAGGAAACTTTAACAAAATGTTAAATTTTGATTTATATTAAATAAATGCAAAAATATAAAAACATCATAACAGAAAAATTTAAATGAAAATGATTTTATGTCATAACTGCCATAAAAATAGTTAACTAATGTTTTTTCTAATATTGAGTTTATTTCAATTACTGTTTCTACGATATATTTTGTATTATGTATAACTAAACATGTATATATTTAGTATTTACATTACATATTCTTTTAAATGATAAATATTTGTATATAAATTTTGAAAAACTTTCTGACAAAAAACGAGTGTTGCTTTAATATTTAGCACTGCCAAGTTAAAAATCATAATTCATCCATATACAGCAGAAAATTTATCAGAAAAATATGTATACCTTACTCTAGAGTTTTCAATTTCAAGTGAGGTTAGTAAAACATAAGTTTGTCATACCATTTTTGACTTTATATTTCATAAAAGTTGCAATTATTAAAAAAAATGTTTCCATTAAGTATCCAAACCAAGTGCCTTCTATATCTATTCCTAACTCACGTGGTTTATCTGATGAATGCTGCGAAAGGTAAAAATTTATTTTCTAATTTGACTATTTTTTTTTTTAATCATACTTTACTTTGAATTTTGTTATAAAATATTTTGAAAATATACTGATAAATATTTTCTTAAAAATTTAAAGCGTATAAACTTGATAAAATTTAAAGTGTATAAAGTTATAAATTTGATTGTAGATTAAATAAATAAACTATGTAGTAATAATATAATTGTTGTGAATTATTTAGTAATTACAGTATTTCATACTACTTCTTTTAGTATTCGGGAAAACCTAAAAGATTTGTCATATAAACATAGAGGGGAGGAGATGTTATTCAAATTGATTGAAGTAGGTTCATCTTTTAGATGTTTATAAAAATAAAAAAGTGTATAAATATTTGTTTACACCAAAAAATAAAACTTTTTAAAATGGGAAAAAAAGTTTTTATGGTTTATATGTATTTCAAGTATTCAAACTTTAGAGTGTTCAGATATTTTTATTTTCCACAAGTATTTGAGTGGAAAATAAAAATAAATATTAGGATGGTAAATAAATATAAATATAACCTTATGTATAAAGTCGATTAAAAATTTTTAGGGTAGGATGCTTATTTTTGCTTATTGCTATGCTTATTTTTAGCTATTTTTGATATCATGCAAAAAGTATTTATAGTAAAACAATTTATTTTCAGGAGAAATCTTAAACTCATGATTAGACATTATTTTTAGTATATTATATTTTAAAAAGAAAATATTCATATATGACAGTTGAAGTACTTATAAAAAATCAAAGCATAATGAATTTTTGTTTAAAGAACAATTTATAGCGGAAGCTCAATTGAAAATTAACCAAAAGTTTTTGTTATATATTAGAGATCATCATTTACAAAAATATGTTTATATTAAAAATGTTTAAATCTGCTCCGTTACTAGTTTTGATTGAAAATATAATTTCAATTTTCTTTATTTTGATCTTTAATGATCATCTAAATGAGTCAATAATTGCTATTGACTCAAAAAAAAGAATCCAGAAGTATAGCCGCACTTTTTATTAACACTAATTTTGCATTTTAAAAGTATTTATTGCTGTGTAAGTATAAGATTCTTAATGGGACAATACATATCGACATATAGACCCACATTACTCCACCCAACTGTGTTGTAAGTTTCAAAAAAAGTATGCATCTTTTCTAAAACTAATTGAACTTAGTTATCTAATAGTTTTTCTTCAAAATCAAACATTTTTTTAATGTCCAAATTGATTTTGAATACCTTTATTCAGAAAATTTTAATACAAATTTCTGTTTAAATGTATGTGCCATATTGAATCAAAAATACACTTAAAATTTTGCTTAGTAAACTGATAATTAAAGTTCAAAGAGCTCTTTTAACCACCTATAACATAGGGAAGAAAAAAAAGCTTTTACATAAAGCCTTTCTTCTAAAAATCTAATCAATGTTGATTAGACCCATTTTACCCCATAGACCAACATTGGGTCTATGGGGTAAAATCCCACCCTACTTTTTTTATTATAAATTATTAATTTTTAAACAATGTAACTTAACATGTAACAGGTTTTTCCTAATAGTGTTAATGTATTTTTGTGTTTCTTTTGAAACTGCTTTTGAAAATAAAATGTAAATCATAGAATTGTTTTTTAGTATGCTAAAGATTGCTTAAGTGATAATAACCATCCAAGTTGTGTATGTTCTATATGTTTGGAAAACTTTCAGGTTAAATATTTGTTTTCTGTATATTATGAGCCTTATGTATATATATATATATATATATATATATATATATATATATATATATATATATATATATATATATATATATATATATATATATATATATATATATATATATATATATATATATATATATATATATATATATACATATATATATATATATATACATATATATATATATATATATATATATATATATATATATATATATATATATATATATATACATATATATATGTATATATGTATACATATATATGAAAAGCTCCCATGCAAAACCAGACAAATCCCATGTTTACCAAAAACGAGATTATGCATACTGTGAATAGTAGACAATTCTTGTCATTGGCTTATAAATGATTTTCAAGCAAAAGCCGGCTCTATCTTACTTCAATTACATAAATAAGTTACTAATATTGTGCAAAAGCAGACAATTCCAGTTTAGCATTTGGTGCAAAATCAGACATGTCCAACAAACAATTAACTTTATCAAAACAAACCATGTTTGATGTTTACAACTTCCCAAACTAAAAGTTAAAAAACAACAATAATGGTTACTAGCTGCATTTTGCATTATTTTGATTTTTAAATTGTTGCAAATTAGTTATCAATAGTTTAGACCTGTTGTAATGCAAGTTAATTCGAAGATGTAGATGATTTAAAGTTTGTTGGATAACATAGTAGCTGTTCCAGAAAGCGGAAAATTATTAAAATATAGCATCCACTCATACCACACATATCTGTCTTGAGTACCTCTTTTCATATTCTCTCACTAATGACTTCATAAAGTCTTTCAAAATTGTTTTAATAGCAGTTTCGAAGTTGCCTGTTTAAGACAGTTCTCACGACTTATCAAGCCACCGTATTGATTAAGCATTACAAAGGCAAGTTGAATATGTGATGCTTCTACAAGAAAATTCAGTTGTTCACTTGCTTGCTGTTAATTCATTGAAGAGAAATCAACTGGCAAGAAGAGAAAAATATGTAGTGCAACTTTCTTACATGCAATTCCACCTATCAAAAAGAACCGGCTGGTAGGAGTACTTAAACGTTTACATGGTAGTGGTGGCCTGCCAAAGGAGGGTCAAGGTGACGACAGAATATCTCATAGATCTGTTGCAAAAAAGAATAGTGTAAAAATATTTTTTAGCAGTTTAACAGGCAGAGAAAGTCATTACGGTAAAGGCAAAAATGTATGCATATATCTGCTGTCTGAATTAAAAAATTGTAAAAACATATGTAAGATGTATAACAACTGTACTGAATAACACAAAGTTCCGTATCAGACGTTTTACAAAATTTTTATTTCTGAGTTTAACATTGGTTTTAATGGTCTGTAAGAAGATGCATGAACCACTTGCGACAAATCGAAAAACTTGGTTATGCATGAGTCAAAAGTCTAGGTTGTACCTGAACTTAAATTGCAAAGAAATTTTACTTGAGTGTGCTGCATTTTGCCGATTAATAAAGAACTCTGATAAAGCCACATACAAAATTGTATACAATCTGCAGCAGGTAAAAGTTCTGTCTAAGGTGCCTGTTCAGGAAGTTTTTTATGTCAGACAGCTAGCTTTATATAATTTTGTAATCTGTGACATGTAAGGAAAAAATCGCTGTTATACATGGATTGAGAGTGAAGCAGCACGTGGTTCAAATGAGATAGCAAGAGCAGTGTACCACTTTTATTGTAAGGTCTTTGTTAAATTTGGCAGTCCTGGTCAAGTGTCAAGTGTCAAATAATTCAGTGATGGTTGTGGAGGGCAGAACAAAAACAACATTCTTTTGGGCATGTTTCAGCATTGGCTGCACTTCCTTTTTACTGTGTGACCACCTATTTGGAAGAATATCATAAGACACAGCAAACAAGTCAAATATCACTACTCCTGAAAAGTATTATAAGATATTCAAAATGCATACTTGTGAAGTGTTTATTGTAAGGACTGGGTATGGCATGATTTCAAAGCAGCTGCAGCAGCAACATACAAACTGCATGTTGGACTGCAAGAATTATAGAGAATACTCCTTCATTTGTATGAGTCAAAAGGAAAGCGTGTTATTACTGTGGAGTGAAGAGAAAGATTATAATACAAGTAAGAACAATTATCAGTCACTATTGAAAGCAAAAGCATTTTATTCAAAGATGAACCCAAAACAAGTTCCCGACCTTTGTCTAAAACTAGGAAAGTTTTCCATAATTAGCTTTATACAAAACACTGACAGACAGTGAATCTATTATTGATACAGATAATCCTGAAAATGACTGCAACTGCTGTACCAAAGATGACGTGGCTTACGTTTGACAAAAAGTTAATATAGTGATGCAGACTTTATGCAATAGCAATCAGCAGTTATTATGGTCAAGAGTACACGCAGTGAAATGAAATTAAAGACATGGTGATATCAATAATAAACAATGCTGTGTATTAATAGTCATTATAATAGTGCATTTTGTAATACTAGCATTGTTATCAATTATGCTGAGAAAAATGATGCAAAAACAGACAGTTCCCTATTTTGATGCAAATACAGACTAATCCAAATTTTACCTCTTCATAAAGAACCTCTAATAAAGCTTTTCTAAGGAAATATTCTATGTTCTGTGAACTATGAACCTTCTCAATGTATGTTATGTTAATGATATTAGAATGTTGCCAACAGAAATCAAGGATTTAAAAACATCAAGATATGTTAAAATTTTTAAATATGGATTTATCTGGTTTCGTGTGGGAGCTCTTCATATATATATATATATATATATATATATATATATATATATATATATATATATATATATATATATATATATATATATATATATATATATATATATATATATATATATATATATATATATTTATATATATATATATATATATATATATATATGAAGATATATGTGGGAGCTCTTCATATATATATATATATATATATATATATATATATATATATATATATATATATATATATATATATATATATATATATATATATATATATATATATATATATATATATATGAAGATATATGTGGGAGCTCTTCATATATATATATATATATATATATATATATATATATATATATATATATATATATATATATATATATATATATATATATATATATATATATATATATATATATATATAATTTAAATTTCTGACTCTTCATAATCGACTAGTTGGTATAATAACGCAGCAATATGCTTATAACAGCGCCCTGTACCAAATTATTTAACCAGTAGATTGCCACAAGTCTGTAAAAACTTATTATTGGTTTCGTTTCACAGACACTGCTACATTACACTTTGTACATATTTATATACATTCTAACTAGTTATTAAATACAAAGTGCAATAAAATCATGGCGTGTTGTTTTTGAGCTTTTTATTGTAGTAGTTTAGTTAATTTTGTAATATTTTATTCAATGTATAACAGACATTCAGGTATATATTTGTATAAATATATATATATATATATATATATATATATATATATATATATATATATATATACATATATTATATATATATATATATATATATATATATATATATATATATATATATATATATATATATATATATATATATACATATATATATACATATATATATATACATATATATATATATATATATATATATATATATATATATATATATATATATATATATATATATATATATATATATATATATATATATATATATATATATATATATATATATATATATATATATATAATGTAATATAAAGTTTTGGATATTTTTCTTTTTTTTTTATTAAATTGTTTTAATTTTTAGCAGTTTTTATTTATATTTTTCTTCTCTGTTGATAACTATGTAACCACCCATGTGGTTATTGCAATGCATGGTTGTTTTGCATTTTTAAGTAGTATTATATTTAGTTTATTTTTTTTAGCATTTAGTTCTTTTGAGATTAAAAACATTTTTCATATTTACTTTTTATTTTATGTAAATTAGGCAGTGCTTTTAATTTTTTATGTTGTCTATTAAATAATATATAGGTGCTATTTATTATTTGTTAACCTAAAACTTAGTTTCAACAATTACTTTAATTTCATTTTGGTTCTTTTGAATTTTTAGCAAGATTTTGTTCGCCTGGATTGTTATCACTTTCTTCATAAATTTTGTTTTAATAAATACCTGGAAATAAATAAAGAAAAGGTATGTAGTATACTAGTTCTCATGTCATAAAATATTTTTTGCATAATTTTTTTTTTTTTTTTTTTAAAGTATTTTATTATGAAGCACATTTTTCATGATGTATTTATGAGAATTTCTTGTACCTTTTCATCTTTATAAATCTTTGAGACAATTTTTTGTATGCTTGTTTATAAGATAATTATTTTATCATAATAAACTACTATGCTAATTATCATAATAAACTTCAATGATAACCTCTATGCTAATAATTGTGATATACTTCTTCTATGCTAGTCATTGTGATAAATTTCTTCTATGCTAATTGTCATGATAAACTTTAATAATAACTTCTATGCTAATCATCATGATAAAGTTCCACTATGATACAATATTTCCACTATGATTCAGTAATGCAGCTTTAACATAACCTTCATTAATCAATAAAATTTTATTTATACTTAAAGGTTTAATGATTAATAGACTTTTAGACATTTAAAAAATATATATCTGAAAAAAACAAAAAACTGGTTAAATCTTAAAACATGCAGTTAAGGTTAAAAAAGGCTGTTTTTTTTTATCTCTATTATTTTTCTAATATCTTAGTTCTGTATTTTTAAATATTTCTGTTCTGCATTTTTATTTGTCTGTTGTGTCTTTTAAATTCTGATTCTGTCTTTTGTAAATCTTACTTATTTATAAACAATAAATATATACACATAGTATATATTTACAAATAAATACATATACATAGTATATATTTACTTTTAATTTAATACATTTTATAAAATTTTATCATTTAATTAACCATGACTAGTAGAACCAAGTAACATTTTTAAATCTGAAATTTAATATAATATTTAAAAAAAAAAAAGTTTATATTTAGATATGCCCGGTATGTCGCACTCCATTTCACTTGGATTTTTTTTCAGATGTAACACATTCTAAAGATGAAGATGCTCCATTAGTAAGTTAATACTTTTGTATTTTAAAAAAAAATTACCTTATTATTGGTAAAAATTTGTAGTTAGATGTTTTATATTTATAGATTGAAATACATATAAATATTTATATTAATATTTATGAGCGAAAAATAAATAGTTATTTATATAAAACAAATGGTGTATTATAACTATCTATGAAAATAGATAGTTATTCGTATAATATCTATTTTTATATTAATTTACAAATGTGCAAAATCTAATGATTTGAAATCTGAAAGATTTCAATGAATATAGAGTGAAATAAAAAGATATTCTCAGTTATTAAAATTTTAAAATTTTTATTAAAGTACAGAATCAATTTTTAACCTTTCTTGTAAAATATGAAATAATATTTCATGATGATATTTTTCAAGTTTTTAACTAATACTAACTGAACACATTAACACAGATTTATGATTTAAGAGATTTATAAAAGTGATTTATAATTTATGATATTTACAAATTTATGATATAAGAGATTTATAAAATCTTTGATAATTCAGTTTCACAAAAAGCCCCGTTTTATATTGTAGTTGATCTTCAAGAGGCTCTTTTTAAAATTGTTTTATAAATATAGTATAATAATTTATTTAAAATGGTTCACCCTCCCTCTAAAAATATAATTTGACTAACAAAGCTTTTGTTGTGTTAACTCTTGTACTAACAGTATCGAAACTCTTATAATCAGAAAGTTTTAATATTGCCAATCACCTGTGGCAATAGAGAATGTTAGTATTAAATAGATAGTTGGTGTCAGCCCTCAGAATTAGGATTTGCATGCAACAATGCTAACCTAATTGCTGATTTAAAAGTGTTTAAGGTCAGCAACTTTTTGCTGTCCTTTTTTTTATGTTTTAATGGTAAAACTTTTATGTTTAAATTTTGTGCTGACCGTATGCCAACCAAAAATAGTTAAACAATAAACTGCGGACTTTATTTTTTCTAATTTTAAAAGCTGAGGTGTTCTATAGGCGAGATAATCTATTGTTTCATTATTACTTAAACTATTAAAATTCAATTTGTTTTGAATTTATTGACAAACTTTTTTTCTGATTTTAAGTGATTAAATAATAGAAACTTTTTGCACTCTTTGATATTTAAATATTTAATCAAAAAAAGTAATTTGTACAATGTGCAACATTTTTTTTACAATAATTTTGTTTCAGTTTTTTTTTATTTAAAATGCAAACTTAATTAGTCTTAATTAGTCTCTAAGGTTCATGTGTACTTTTGTGTAAGTACATTTAAGGTTTATTTGTGTACTTATGTGTAAGTACTTCTAAGGTTTCTTATGTGTAAGTACTTATGAGGTTTTTGTAGATTTATCTTTTCGCTATTATTTTTCTTGCCCTAGACAGAATTTTCATTTTGCAAAGAGTATATGGATTGGCAGAAAAAAAGCGTTGAGTTATTTCGTAGACAAGAGTTAAATGGTGGAATCATAGACCTAGAGTGGGAACAAAATAAATATTTTATATCTTTGGTAATTTTTTATTAGGTTTGTTTTCAGATTTAAAAATCAACAAATGTCTTTAAAACTTTGATTTTTATTGCTTAAACATAAGTTCTTGTGATATGTGACCAATATTTCTGTAATTACTGTAATAGTGACCAATATTTCTTGATTATTTTTCTTTTAAAGAATACATCATTGCCACCAGAACCGAAAAAAAATCCAGAAACTACTAGAAAAAATGTATGTAGCGAAGAAAGCGTTTTCAACAATGTCTCCAAACCACAGTGTTCGAAATCTTATAATGGAAGCTCTGAGCTACCTTTTTTAAAAGATTTTGATAAACAAAAAAAATAATTTAAAAAATTGTCATTAAAAGTATAGAAACAATTTTTTTAAAATTTGTAAAGTAATCTATAGATATATTTTTTTTTACAAAAACTTAAGTCATTGTAAATGTAATTTTGTCAAAATATTTAATGTCAGTTTGTACTTAAAAATATCACTTTTTTGAGTTATTCTTAATTTATGTATTATTTATTATTGCAAAGACTTTTTTCTTGTCTGTTTGTAATTGTTAGTTGTTGAATGAATAAATGAACCTGCGTTTCTCAGTTGCACGAGATATTAAATGGACTAACTTTTTTACGCTTTATACACCTTATACAACAAAAAGTTATCTCTTAAAGAAAACAGCAGCTTTCATAAAACTAAATCAAAGAAACCTTGCAAGTGTGCACAGCATTGGAATGGAATTAAAAGAAGTTGTCGCAAAACTTGAAAGTTTTGCATCCACAAAGTTAGCTGAGAATTGGGATAACGTTGGACTTCTAATACAGCCTTCATCGCCACTTCTAGTAAATGTTCTTTTTCTTACTAATGATCTGACGGAAGATGTTCTTGATGAAAGTATTTCAAAAGGAGCAAATATGATTCTGTGTTACCATCCACCAATATTTCGTTCATTAAAAAGAATCACTCAAAGTAGTTGGAAAGAAAGGCTGGTGGTCAAAGCTTTTGAAAATAGGATTGCTATTTATTCTCCGCATACTGCATACGACGTAATCAAAGGTTAGTTAAAATATTGTAATATTTTTTTAAACTTATGTTTCAAAATATTGATTATTTAGTTATTATATTTTTTAATTTATTTGTAAAAAAAAAGGTGGTGTAAATGATTGGCTTATAAGCTGCTTTGAAGGCGTTGTTTCACCCATAAACCCATTGGAAAATGTTGAGTATTTTGTTTTGAATATTTTTATAAAATGGAATATTTAATTCTGTTAATTTTGGTAATTTCATTTTTTATATTAAACGTTTTCAGTGCGGTTATGTACCTCAATGCTATTTTTAAAATCTTGTTTGAATGTTGCATGACAAGTTTAATATTTTCTGAATTTATTTAGGATAGCACTTGTGGTAGTGGTCGAATATGCCAACTCAAATCTCCTTTATTGATCGCTGATGTGATTTCTAAAGTCAAGGAACACCTTGGTTTAGATTTAATCAGAGTTGGATACAGTCGTAATGGCAAATTAAAAATGGTTTGTTGTTTTCAGTTTTTTAAGAATAGCTTTGTTATTTTGGAAAGCGACAATTTTATAAAATATACGCGACTGCTTTACAATACAAGAAATGACTGAAATATACCTACTCCACATGTTTACGATATGTCTATATACCTACTCCACAAATTAAAAACTTTTATATGAATTAGGAAGAGTTGCATTATGTTTGAAACTATTGCAATGTTACATAAATATTTAACTATGGAAAATTTTATAGTATTGTTTTTGTCCGTTAGATTAACAGTATTGCGACGTGTGCTGGTTCTGGTGCAACAATCTTAGAGGGAGTTCGTGCTGATGTTTACCTAACAGGGGAAATGTCTCATCATGAAATTCTAGATGCTGTATCAAATGATGTGACGGTTTTGCTGTGTGAACATTCAAATACTGAGAGAGGATTTCTTAAAAACCATTCTAAAACTCTGACTTGTTTGCTTGATTATAAAGTCCAAGTCATATGTTCTGAAGTTGATAAAGACCCTATTTTATTTGTGTAAACTTTTGATTGTTTAAGGTTTTTTTCTGAATTAAAGTTTAGAAAGCGTCATTTTATTCATTTTTACTATTTTCTTTTTTATGTTGTTTGTCAAATTAAAAAGTTATATATTAGTTTTTAAATTTGCATTTGTCTTTATGTGCAGAAGCGGTTCATTATCAATTAGGTAGAATTAAATTTTAAATTATTATTAATAATTAATTTTTTTATCGTGTTACAATTTTTTAATCGTGTTAAAATATGTAAACCACATTAGCTGGACTCGATAACGAACCTTCAGTCTTTTAACTGCGACGGTCATCAGTGGCGTAGCGAGGAATTTTGCGCCCGGGGCTAAAAATAAATACTGTGTCCATTTGTTCCCATTAGGGAGTTTTCCTTGTATGTTTTAGATCCACTGGCAGTAAATCTTGTGTTTTGCAGTAATATATAATATATTTATTTACACAGTTTACATATATTTTATATAAATATATATATATATATATTATATAAATATATATATATTTTATATAAATATATATTATTATTATTATTATATAACTGTGTAAAAAAAATATATATATTAACTGTGTTGAAAAAAAGAAAATACAATGTGCTATATTGTAATTTTTATTTTAAACTAGAATTTGATAAGTATTTTTAGGAATATAATTTTTTCTGAAATTTTAACTTTGATTTTCTTCATAATCTGAATTTTTCACATTTATTTAAATAATATAATTCCTTTAATTATTTTTAAAATGTTTTACTGAACAATAATTAAGCTGGGAATTGATGATTGCAAAAGTTATTTTATTATTTAATAGAACGTTAAATAGGTTTTTTTGTTATTGTTGTATGTACGTTGATATCTCCCAAACTTTAAATAGAGAGTTTATATAGTTTTGACTGCATTTTTTCCAATTTTATAAAGTCTTTGCATTGTTATCTCTATTTTCACAGAGTTCCAGACCATGCGTTAGCGTTGGAACTGCTGAAGATTTATATAATTGGATAATTGAAGATGGATATGCGAATCGAATACCAGATTGAATCAGAGTTTGCACTGTTGTTTGGAAATTTGATATCCTACTATTTGATCTATTTAGTGAGGCAAAATTAGATTTTTCTGTATCCCAAATGAAGCCTATTTTTTCTGTTGGTATTATTTGATCGTCATCAGGGTTATCTTGCAATTAGTTACTTGTCGTTTTCCGGAGAGCAAAAGTTCCGTTTTGACAGCATTGAGTTTTATGACGTTTAAGTTTTTGTAAACATTAGGATAAAGCGGGGTGAATTCGTCACAGCGAGTCCGTCACTTATGATAAAATAATAATGCAAAAAAAACTAAGAAATCTACTTACTATGTTTTTTCGAAACTTTTCAACTGATATTTGTACATGGCCTTCTATAAATTAAATAATTAACAACTAAACATTACAATAGCAACAATTCACCTGTATGCCTATGCTCTTTAGATGCAGAAAAAGCTTTTGATAGCTGCAACTGGGATATCCTATTTGATAAATTATATTTCAATAAAAAATAGTAGTAGTGCAACAGTCTCATATCAAGGTTGTAAATAAAACTCCTTTCTTCTAAAGCAAGGAGTAAGACAAGGATCGATTCTTTCACCTCACCTATTTAATATTTACACTGAAAGTCTTCTTGAAACTATTACAAATCAAGGTATTGTTGGCACATCTATATATGGTAACTTCACTGGTGTGGTGGCATATGCGGATGATATCATACTTTTTTTTTGGGTGGCCATAAAAGTCATGTGACTATTGAAGAAATTGAATTAGCAATAGAGATGGATATTGAAACAATATGCATTTCACCTCATAGTAAACATCGCCTTCAACCACTTAACACACATGTTAATAAAGTAGTTAAACATATGTGGTCTGAAGCCTTGACTAATTACTTAGCTGAAAATGATGATATTTCTTGCGCTTGCGCGGTTATACGGTTTTCATTTATGCCAAAATCATTGTTTGATATTTTCTAGAAAAAGTTTAACAATTAATGTCCTATTAGATTTTTATTTATTTCAATTCACCTCCTCAAGGCCATGAAGGCCACTACTGTCAAAGAGGCTACTCTAGTTGATACAAACCTCTATCAACTCTATAACTCCAAAACACGAACCTTGGCGAACAAGACCGCTGCGCAGAGAAACAAGTTGAGCGCGGTACTACCAGGAACGTGGTGGGGATTGAACTTGGAACTTTTAGGTATACTATTCTAGATTAGGGAAATCATACTACTGTTACCTCAATAATGTTCTATGTCGAAGTTTTTATACTCCTAGTTAAGCTGCCTTTACCGCTAGTAAAGAATTTTGTCTATCGCCCAAGTGATATTACTTTTCAATAAGTTTACCTGTACTGACAAATTCGCCCCGTAATTGACAAATTTGCCCCTCATGACTTTATAATGAAAAAATTAAGTTCTACGCTAAAGTAACTTTAGAATTTATTTTGATTCAACACATTAACAAAGTAGAGACCTTAATTAATTTAAAAAAATATATTAAACTAGAAAAAATAACTTATTTTTATGCAAATTTATTTTGTTGATGTAAAACATGACGAACTCGCCCCGTCTTACCTTACACGTTGTTATAAATCTTTCAAGACCAGAAATTTGAGCTAAGCAGAATGATGTCGTCAGTATAAGCATCAACACCTGTGAAATTTCCGTGTCTAGAAGTTTCTACAAAGTTATCATTTTTTATAGTTTTAAGTAATTTTTGTGTATATATGTTATACAAGTGGGGCGACAAAATCGATCTTCGCCTTACATCTTGCTTAAGAGCAAATGAAACTGAATTGGAGCCAAAGTAAGAGACAGTTGCACAACTGTTGTGACATAAAGGAGATACAGTGTTAACTATTTGGAGAGGTAGTTTTTTATCAAAGTAAAGTTTATCATAGAGCAGATTCCATTTGCAACTGTCAAAAGCTTAATCAACATCTAGCGAAAATAAGTAAATAGGCGTATTGTTGTTGGAAATACGGAAATGCAGAAAAATAAACTTTTTTATGCAGAAATATAAATTTAAATAAGAAAATTAAAATAAGAAAATATAAGTAAAAAAATATGAAATTAAAATAAGAAACTAAATAGTTAAATAAAATATGACTTAAACGCAAATAATATGTGAAAATATTTATATTTTCATTTAAAAGTGTTTATTATTGTATGAGAATATTTATATTAAAAATTTTTTTATTTACGTACAATATAAATTATATTTCTGCATAAATTTGTTTATATTTCCGCATAATTTGATTTATATTTCCGCAAAACCCTGTAATATAAATCCTGTAATAATGAGCAGTGGAAGACAAGTCTTTTATAGGGTTATTCATTTTTGTATGCGCGTTTATATGCGAGTCTTCCACCAATAAAATCTCAAATATAATTTTATATAAATAATAAATAGGCTTTTATGTTTTTATATAGATATATTTACAATATAAATTAGGTTGTGGTTGCTGCTATTTATTTAAAAAATAATTGCCGAGCCAGGGTTGGATTTATGTAATACTCATTTGGATTTATTGGATAAATGTAATACTCATTTATGGTTGGATTTATGTAATATTCATTTATCTACATTTGAATTTAATTATTTATAATTATTATAAAAACTTAAATATTTACCCTATGGATGGAAGAGAACATAGCAGTGCCAATAGGCAAAATGTTACAAAAGAGCACATTGAAATGCTTAAGCATTTAGTTGAAAAAAATGAATCTACTACAAGCAATTCCACTTCTCTTAATCTATCTATGCACACAGTTCAAAATCTTGTCGTTAAGTTAAACACAGAAGAAATTGACAACATGACTGCATTCAAGTTGTTTTCTGATTTAAAAAAAACGATGTAAAAGACCTATAAACGTTCAAATAAAAAATATTATTGAATTATGCGTACAAGAAAACAACCTTTTTACGCAAAAAGCAATATAAGAAAATCTTTCTATTATTTCAAGAAAACTCAAATGCTCGGATTTAACAAGAAAGCTTGTTGGGCATGTACCAGAAGAAAGAAACTCGACACGGATTATTAATGCACGTTATGCATTTACAAAAGAGTTTAACGGAATTTCAAATAAAAACTTATTTATTTGGATGAAACTGGATTTAATGTGCACATTAACAGCACATATTCGCTAAAAGGTGCGCCAACAATTTTTCAGTCATCTGCAAATAGTGACAAGAATGCTAGTTTGGTTTGTGCTGTTTCATCAATGGGAGTGCTGAAACATAAACTGGATGCTGGAATGTAGATTCATTTTGTACTTTCATTACTACAATCTTGGCACCAGCGATTAGGAATGCAGAGGTAAATGCGCAGGTGTTTGTTATAGACAACTGTAAATTCCACTGTTAGGCAAACACTAGCCTCTCATGGGATAGCTATTAAATATTTGCCAGTATTCAAGCCACAGCTTAATCCAATATAAAATTTTTTCTTCTTTAAAGCATATTTACATACAGGGAGAAAGGCCTTGAGATACGGAAAGGGTAATCAGGATCAATAAGGGATAAGAATAGGGAAAGGATAATCAGGATCAATCACTTAAAAATATTATCGATACTGCAGAGTTTAACCTAATTCAATTGTACAATCATATGCGTAGTTACTATAAATCTAGCGCTGGCTCGGCAACCATTTTTTAAATAAATAGCAATGGCAACAACTTAGTTTATATTATAAATGTACCTACATAAAAACATAAAAGCCTATTATTGTTTATATAAAATTATATTTGAATTTATGAGTGGTTGACTCCATATAAACGCGCATATAAGAATGAATAAACACGCATATAAAATTGAATAAACACGCATATAAAAATGAATAACCCTTTAACTACAGTGCACAGTGGGAAATTAGATGGCCAAAAATCAGAAAAGTGACTTGGTTCAATCATCAAGTCTGATAGTGGGTTTTGTTACTAATACCCTCACTAAGAATTTTCCAATTTATAAAATTCTAAATGTGGCAGGCTCAATTGTAGTGGCTTCTTGAAGTTAGTTTTTTTAATGAATTTT